GCCCTCCCACTCCCGGCCGAGGCTCGCATGTGGCCTCCGCGGGTCCCCGGGCGCCTTCACCCCCCAAGCTGCCGTACTCCCCGGGGCTGCTGTGTGCGGCCTGCGTCGCCCCGTGGGGCGCACTCTCGGCCGTTGTACTCTCCGGCCCTGGGGCGCGGCCCCTGTTGCTGCTCGAGGCTTCCTTCTGCCAGTGTTAAGGCAGAATGTCCAGTATTGGGGGAAATTCGTGCATACTACAACTTCGCTTTTATTTTGCATCTTCAATGAGTGTCCCTGGCGCTCCTGGTGCCGAGGGTGACCTGGGGACACGGTGATGCAGCACAGCCCAGCTGCAGCGATCATCTGTGGTGGCCGCACTGGCGCTGCAGAGGGCCATGGCACGGGCCTCCCCCGAGGAGCCACAGGCCGCAGCCTCAAGGGGACGGCCAGTGTCACTGGACGCTCGTCTGTTTGGAGTCAGCACCGGGCCTGGGCCTCTCTCCCTCGCCGCCGGATGCCACGCCTCGGGGACCACAGCTGGCTCTTAACCTCCACTCCCGGCTTTCGCCGGCTCTCGGAGCGAGGCCCCACCCTCTTCCAGGCGCGGAAACGGAGGCTCGGGCGGGCCAGGGCTGGCTGCTGCTTGCCCTCGTCGCCCCGTGAGCCTGGCTGCAGCTGCTCCACGGCCCCTGGGCACCTCCTCACGGCCCTCCCCCCCCCCGTGCCCGCGCCCGGCTGGGAGGGCAGACTCCCGCTTGAGGGGGTCAGCCGGACTCGCCACCGTCAGGGTCCTCTTGGGCGGATAGACGAGTGTTCTCAAGGCCTGAAAACGTGCTTTAGGCCGGGATTGCTCTGTCTGTGCCCTGAGGGGGGCGCTGATCACACACACCCCTGCAGCCTCGGGCAGGTGACCCCGCTGTTCCAAGCAGGCTTTAAAATACTTGTCCTGAAGTTTGGAGAAAGGTTAGGTGAGATAAAAACAGACGGAGACGTGAAAGCTCGCGGTAAAGGCGGGAACCTGGAGCGCTGGTGTGCCGCACCCCCGCGCCACTGGTCAGCGCTCCCTAGGCCTTCTCGGGGCTGCACCCACCCCGCCCCGCCCCGCCCGGGAGCGTGGCGACACCCAGGCCGCCATTCCCTGGGCCTGGCTTTCAGGGCTGAGCCCCACCCGGCCGCCAGCCCCGGCTCAGGTCGCCAGCTTCTTGCCCAGGTCCCCTGCTTTGCCGGCCTTGGGGTGTCAGAGCTTCCCGGGGGCCTCCACTCTTACGCCGGAGTCTCTTTCCTGCCCTCCAGCCACACACTCATGCACACACCTGCGGTCTGTCTCTCACCCATAACCGCCGAATTGGCTTGTGTAACGGGAGTATTTTGGCGAGGGTGGAGGGTGTTCCTGATTAAATTAGGTCGGATTAATCAGCCTAAATTAAGCTAGGCGTGACTGCACGCACGAGCACGCGCCGCGGGAGACAGACACCGGAGGCCGTGGCATTGGCTGCGCCGGCCCGTGCGCTCAGGGGTGTGGCTTCTGGCTTTGCTTAGTACGTGGATTTCACTGTATGGCCTCGGCAACTGCTCGGTCTGGGTGCAGTTTCCTTGGCTCTGGCTGGCCAGACCTGGGCCACGTAGCCAGCTGAAACCTTAACAGGGGAGAGCGGGGATCAGGCAGCCAGCAGTGTCTGCCCGCTGACGTCTCCAGTGAGCCATCGCTTGTACTCCTTGTTCAGCCTGTTTCTAAATTCATTATGAAAAATTGCAAACACCTGCAAAACAACCGCCAGGCCTAGCGGAGGAAGGCCCGTGGGTCCACGCAGGCGGCCTTCTCCCGCCTCTGGCCCTCCCTCGCCGCCTCGGCCTCTGCGAGGCAGACCTCCCGAACAGGCCCGCTGGTGAACATGCCAGGCTCCTCGGTCAGCGGTCTGGGGCATCTTTGTCATTTGCTGTCCGAATTTTTAGTTCCGAATTTTTTTTTAAGATTTATTTATTGATGCATACAGAACTGGGATACAGCCAGAGGTGCAGGGGCAGTGAGAGGATTCGCCAGGGACAGAGCGGGGAGCAGAACGCCCTGGGGGTCACCTCCGGGGCAGGCGGGGGTCGAACGCATGCTGAAGTGGCTTCAGCTTCTCAGTGCTGCGCTCTGACCCGCTGCGCCCCCAGGGAGGGCCCTAGTCCCGAATTTTTAACCAGTCATGCTCAGCCCTGGGGGCCTGCGGGAAGCGCCCGGTCTGCCGTCCATTCGGACAGCAGCCTGTGCTCTCTGACCCCTGTGTCTGAAGCCCCCGTCTGTGGTTTGTTTCCTTTGCAAACTGCTGTTTCAGAGGGTCCTGCCGGGATTTGCTGATCACCTCTGGCCCTCGAAGCCCAGCAGAGGTTGAATCCCATCCAGTGTTTGCAGTCAGAGACAGTGTCCTGGGTGGCGCCGTGGCCCTCAGGGGCTGCTTTGCCCTTTGGTGCCCTTGAGTGCCGTGGCGGACACGGGGGCGCAGAGAACAGGACCTGCGGGGGCTGCGAGGGAGGCGTCCCCGCCCAGCGTGGTTTCTCAGCCCCACCACGGCCCACGGCCGGCTCGGCGGTTAGGCCCAGCCTGTGTGGCCGTCACCCAGCCAGCCCAGGCCGCCGCCACTGCCCAGCGCTGCCTGGCCGAGCGGGAGTCGCGGCGGTTTCCTCCCAGCCCGGCAGAAGGGGTGTTTCAGGGTCGCCTGCTGCTTGCGGGGTGCGACATTCTCCTTGGAAGGAAGCCCAGGCCCCGCCCTCCCTCATCCCACACCCCTCGCCGGCCCTGGGGGCCCCGCCTGTCTCGGCGATCCGCCCACCGCCCACCAGGAGCCCCCCAGGCCTCTGGGTGGGCGCCGGGCACCCACCTCACCCGGCCGTCCCCACTCTTGTTGCCAAAGCACATTCCACGCCTGGCCCGTACGTCTCCTCGCACCACCTGGCTCCAGCCATTCCCTGAAGGAGTCCCGGTCCCCGCGACGGGGAGCTGCCTGGGGACCTCCCCGGAGGCTAGGGCTCCCCGTCGCCTCTGCCAGGTCACGTGCTTGGCTTCCATGACACGTGCAGCCAGGGTCAGGCCACGGTCTCTCAGCCCCTGAGGCTGAGCCTGCTCACTGCTGAAGTGCTGGCCGGCCCGTGGCGGCCCTGCCGACTCGTCGGACTCGGCACCAGGACCCCGGCTGTGACCCCGCACCCCGGCCTTGCTTCCTCCTTGCAGCCTGACTGGGCTTGGGTTTCCACTGCAGCCCCTTTGCTATGTCTGCGGAGCCCGCGACTGCCTCCGTCCAGCCGGCCCCTCGGGGGGGACACCCACTAGTGCGCCCACTTCGGTGCAGAGGGCAGGCTGTCCTGGTTCGCTGGTCCCCGTCCCCGTCTCCCTCCCGGCGGCCTTTGGGCTGTCCGCGGTGGCTGTCTGGCAGCTCCCGTGTGGGGGATGCGTGGGGAGTGTGGGTGCCTCTGAAGTTGTGTTTCTGTATCTTTGCACAAACACCCAGGGTAGAACAGCCGGCCCTGGGTGCGCCTGTGCCGCGTGGCCTGTGCCGCCCGGCCTGGGCCGCCCGGTCTGGGCCGCAGGCCGCACGGTCCCTCCCTCACGCGCCCCTGACCTGCGTTTCCCCATCAGAGCGGTGACGCGCCTGGCTCAAGCCCGCGGCCGCGCCGCATCCTCCCCTGCTCACGCCGAACCCCAAGTCCGCAGTAAGTGGGCGCCTGCTTCTCCCGTGGACTGCGCGGCCGCCCGCGGCACGTGACTGCTGAGAAGCTGTGGACGGTGCTGCCCGGCACTTGCCCCGCGCTGCCCCGCCTTGTGGCCTCCGCCGGGGGCAGCTCGTGGGCCAGGTGCCGGGGCCCTCTCGGCCGCAGCGGCTTAGCGCGAGCCAGACCTCGGTGTGGGCGGCCGGGCCTGTGTCTGGGGGGGACAGAGGGGAAGCGGTCACCCACATGCTGCCCCCAGTGCCGTCAGGAGCCACCGCAGCTTCGGGCACGGGCCGCGGGGTCCTGCGGCTTTGTCTGGTGAGAGAGGAGGGCGGTGGGGTGCGCTCGCGCAGCTGGCGGTCCCCTGGGTCTCGTTCCGGGGGGGCTCCTCAGGCCCCTTGTGAGCTGGGCGTGCCCAGCGGCACTGGTGTGTGGGTTCGGACACGGCTGCGCACTCAGGCAGCCTCTGGCAGGCCGCCTGGCCCCGCCCTGCGCCCGGGAGCGGGGTGTGGCCTGCGCCTCGCCCGCTGGGATGTGACGGTGAGATCCCCTTTGCCCTGGCACCCCTTCCCGCCCGCTTCCAGAGCACACGGGGAGGCCCCGTTCTGTCACTGAAAAGGTCACACCGGGCCTGGGCGCCGCACGGTTTCACCTGCCGCTCGGTTAAGGGAGCCACGCCGGGCCGCGGCCGGGCAGCGCAGCGGTGTGGCGGTCCTGGCGCTCGGGTCCCAACCCGGCCCAAGAGGCCCAGAAGCGGCCGTGAATTGCGCCCCGTGAGGGCCAGGCTCCCGGCCAG